GAACTTTTTTCATTCTTCATTTTGTCCTTACTTCTATGTTGCTTTATTCTTGTAAATTCGTTCTTCTTTCTTTTACATTGATACAGTTTCTTTTATAAATAACTATGATCAGCTCTATTACAAATGTAAATTCAGTCATTCAAACCATGAAGCGCATTCAACGAAGACGAATACAAGTAGTGTGAATTTGATGCGGCATTATAACGCTGGGTGGCAGGGTGTTCGCTGTGAGTGTTGGTAAAATAAGGTACGCAAACCAGGGCCGAGGTTATTCAAGATTTTCAATTTTCTGCCTTAATACTTTATCAATCGAACCCTTTTCAAGTTATTTTAGTTATAGTTTTATTTGTATACGCGGTAAAATTGCCCCGAAATGCTCAATATTTTAGATTTTCTCGAAGATATTTGATTTCTAAATTGGTAAAATGGGAAGGCAGACTATCAAGCTGACATTTTAATTAGTGGTTTTTTTTTTTTTTTTTTTTTTTTTTTTTTGAAAAAAACTAATAAATTTATAAATTATTCTGATGTTAAACATTTTATCTTAACTATTTATAAGCATTTCTTCTTACAAATGTGCTTCTGTTGCTTTAAATAACACGTTTTAAGAAAATCTGGGTCATTAAAACCGGACCAATGATGAAAACTCCAAAATAATTGTGTATTTTCTGTCACCTGAAAAATATATCTCTATTCAAGTTATTTGTTGGATGATTGAATTTCAGTTTTATTGATATAAAGAATATTAAATATTTCGATAATTACTAGTATACCCTTATAAATTGAGTTGTTTTTCAGGAACCCTATATATTATTCTACTGAACTGACATTTCTTTATTTCAGGATAATAACTGTTTATGCGCAGTCGCTAGTCTGGTTTCAGCCAACCCATAATGTTCTGCAAAGTAGTGCGGAACGTCGTGGGTAAGCGTGGCCGGAACCAGGCTAGACCGGGGCATACTAGAAACCTCCCCCGGTTTTAAGGAAAATATGTATTATTTTTTCTATAGAAATAGCACTTATCAATAAAGAAATAAATATCTCTAGTAAGCACAAAGTGTTTGACACCAGAATAACTCAAAAAATTATTTTGTCAATGTCTCGTTTGGCAAAAAATACGTAAAATGTCGGCTTGATATTGCCTACCCATCTTAGCAAATTGGAAATCAAAAATCTCCAAAAATAATCTAAAATATTGATATTTTCCAAATATAAATACATGAATATAAATAATGGCAATTTTTTTACAGCGTATATAGATAAAACTTAGAGACGAAGCATTGTTTTTGAAAGGGGCAGCCAGAGAAAAAAAAAATAACTTACCTAAAAATCTTGACAAGCAAAAAAAAAAAAAAAACAAAACAAAACAAAAAAAACTAACAAACAAACAAAAAAAACAACAACAAAAAAAAAACAAAAACAGAAAACAAGCAAACAAACAAACAAATTAAACAAACACAAAAAAAAAAGGAAAAAAAAAGAGGAAAATTCTTCAAACTCGAAAATTCTATTTGGGGAGGAGGGGGGTCCAACTTCTTTCAGTACCAAATTTTACTCATACATCACTACGTACATGGCCCTTATTTGACTAAACTGCAACAAAAAGTGGGAGGGGGTGGGGGCAACCAGACTTTCATTGAACATTTTCAGTAGTAAAATGTTATGGCTAGAAAAATGTTTGGTGGCCAGACCCCCCCCCCCCCCCCCCCGCTACCGATGTCATATAGTGAGACTTCCCCCATAGTGAGTCTTCCCCACGGAAGTCTGGCTATGTAGTGAGACTTCCCCTCCGGGGGGGGGGGGGGGGGGGGGGGGAGAGAAATGACTTATAAGTGAGCCTTCCGCCCTAAACGACCATAGTGAGACTTCCCTTTCCGTGTTTGGTTTGGATTTTATTTACATCGACGATGTATAGATTGCATATTAAGGTAATGACCTTATACTTAAAAAAAAGATGTGTAGTTTCAAATAAATCAATATAAAAGTGCGCATTATAAATTTATCGTGCACAGCAGATTTATTTTATTGTATTGTTCCGAAACGATTCTTATCAAAAGAAAAAAGACATATTCATTAGTTTAACAGTAAAAAGGTCATTACCCGTAGAAATGCGCAGTTTACCTATCTTTGCCTGCATGGTTAAGATGTTTTTATTATAGAAATCACAATTAAAATGTTTTAATTATTTATTCATATATTTATTTATTCATTAATATAGGACGGAGATCTTTTATCCAAACACTGAAAACGTTAGTAAAGAAACATTGTTTTACAATAAAAAATATTCGGAAACTAAATTAAAGGGGGAAGTTTCGCTATGAAGGGGGAAGACTGACCATATAGTGAGACTTCCCCGGGAAGACTGGCAATATAATGAGACTTCCCCTGGAGAAGTCTCAGTATAAAGCTAGTCTTCCGTGGGAAGTCTTACCATCTAGCCAGCCTTCAGGGAGAACGACACCGGGTACATGCCTGAACCTATAACGTACATCATTTGAAAATTTGGGTTCGATTGAAAAAGTATAAAGGCAGAAAATTGAAAAATCACGAACAAACCCGGCCCGGGTTTGCGTACCTAATTTTACCAACACTCGAAGCGAACACCTTGCCACCTAGCGTTATAATGCCGTATCAAATTCACACTACTTGTATTCGTCTTCGTTGAATGCGCTTCATGGTTTGCGTGACTGAATTTACATTTGAAATAGAGATGATCATAACTATTTATTAAAGAAACTGTATCAATTTAAAAGAAAGAAGATCGAATTTACAAGAATAAAGCAACATAGAAGTAGGGACAAAATGAAGAATGAAAAAGTTCAAAGTGAAATGTAATAAAGACGAATATGAAAACAATAAAGTGACATATAGTTACAATAATAACAAAGAATAAAGAAGTAGGCAGAATAAGAATAAAAGCAAGATAAATAGACTTTTGGCGGTAATTCCCTTCCATATAAGTTTGCCTGCACTTGACAAAACAAGGATTCATTTTTATTTATATTGGATTAGAAATAGAACTACCAAATTGATTAGATTAGTTCTTAAAGTTGTTTTACCTGAACAGGACATCTACTCAGATGAACATTAAATTAAGGAACTTAGAAGTTGGGGATCGGGGGGAAGGGAGCCTATTCCTTACCCCCACACATACCTTTTTTTTCCTGATCGTAAAGTTTTTATTATAAATTTAGTTTGAAAATAATCATTTAAAGACTGATGGCTTCTAACAATATTGTAAAAATAACTCCCTACATTAATTGGCCCTACATGTAACACCTTTCCAAATAAAAAAAAATAAGTATAGAGTTAAGGTATTCAATGTATAATGAGGGGATATTGAACAATTTTGAATCATTTTAAACCAGTTAAATATGTTTTGCTAGGTAACGATGAAAGTGAAATGAACCAAATTCATATGACTGATAACATATAAGAAACCGGCCATTTTGCACCTTAAACGTTTCTGAAGAGTTATTTGTCTTTGATGAAAAGAAGAAAAGTTTAATTTTGTTAAAATATTTGAGGTGAATTATTCATTTTATTTTATATTTGAAGACAGAGTATATGCATATTTTCCCCAGAGATTTATATGAAATTTGAATTACTTTTAACAATATCTTAATAACACATGCGCTGCCCATAGACTTCAATGTAAAATTCAAGTTGCAATTAATGGGACAATAATCAACATTTAGAAAATTCCCTTGGTGGAGTATTTTTGTTGGATAACATCTTTAAAATGCTACTATGATGAAAAATATCGGACCGTTTATTTATTAGATACAAAATATGATCGTTAAAAATTAAATACCTTGAGAGACCTCTTCCATTTTGGTGGGCAGCGAGAGGGGGGAGTCAAAGATTTTTATCTCGTAAGTTGTCTTTTTTTTTTCTTAATCATGATGCCCTACTTTTCAAAATTATGCTACGTGCCAGACATTTATTTCTTTTCTACATTGAAACTACTCTTAAAACTTCCAAATAAATACAACTGATTATGTTTACTTTAACCCCACTTGTCACTGGAGTAAACTGCATAATATAATAGTTGAAGAACTGTATGATGTATGCATGTGTGAAAACTAAGTGCGAATCCCGCAATCCAAACTCTGTATACCAAACTATACTATCTAGTGCTTCTACCTTGATATCTGAGTTCTGTTTGATAATGTCTAAAAACAAAAAGATTTTATTATTTTTCTAGCATTGATCATGAACTTTGAAGAATTGATGTGGGATACAATTAGGTCTCAATCGTTTAAAACTTTTTTATGTCATTTTTTCTTCTATTATCATTTTATGTCTGTAGAATTATCAAGACTAAATTGATATATAACTAAACAGCTCTCCGGTGTTTTCGACTACTGTGTTAAACACTATTTTATTTCAAATGCCTTGGACTTTGCCTAAAGTTAGGCAAATGCCTTGAATTTTCAAATTGACGATATGATAGATAATGAATTAAAGTATGATATTTTTTTTTACAAACACCTTATCTATTAAATCCTTGTATTAAGAAGTAATGTTCGCCTAATCCGATAAGATATTATAAAATATGATATATAAACATGATAAACATTTGCAAAAAATTTCAGCATTTTATTTTGCAGTAAAAATGCCTTGTTTACGGACAACCCTCGTATGTTCAGAGAGAAAATTGACATGTGATATGTGTGCATCTTAACAGTTATTCATTTTTTTTTAAATCTTTAGAAATCAACTTATTTAAATAAAAAAGGTATATGTATCACTGAATGAGAGAAAAAATCAAATCAAATTGGTGAAGATAACGAATAGTGATCGATCTTAAAAAAATTAATAAACAATATAAAATTGTGAACAGGGCATAGAATGCGAACGAAATTCCAGAGGTCGATCGGATTAAGTGCCTAAGAGATGTCCATATAAGCATCCCCTGTTGACTGGTCACACCCATTTGTATTGATCAGGTAAACGGAACATTCCATGAAATTAACATTAATATTTTCTCATTTCAGGTGCATCAAATGGCTACACAACACGATTTCTCGGATTTTATGTTTATGTATCCAACACAACAAACAGACTTGATGGTCATCTATGTTTTCACGACACAATCTACATCAGATCCACAATACCAGCTGTCGTCAATATAACGTGCCTTGTACATGGACAATACGTTATCTATTATAATGAGAGACTTTCTAATCTCAATTATCCTACTGGATATTCGGCCTACGCATATAATGAGCTTTGTGAGGTGGAAGTTTACGGTATGAAGGCTTTGAATTTCATTTTTTTTTTCTTCTACCTTAAGATATTTTCTTCTCGCAGATAAATTCAATATTCTCATTTAGAAAGGATGGATTCTTACTACTGTGTAAGGTTCATATACATGATTTATTTTTTTTCCGTTCACCTTAGTTGTAAGCCTGTGGACTTCTTTTTATCACCCATGGTCTTGCGTCTGTCTACAGTCTGTAAACTTTACACATTTTCAATTTCTCTCAAGAACCACTATACTCATTGAAAACAAACTTGAAACAAAGCATTTTTGGTCGAAGGACAATCAAATTGTGCAAATAAAAGAAAATGTTGCCCTGCAAGAGGATTTTTTAAAGCAGGTACTCATTTTTTTTTTTCGAAAACCACTGGAACAGAATAATACAGTGTATGGAACTTGTGTGATTTTTTTCATAACATAATGTAGATTTTGGAAAATTCAAATTATGATCTAGGGAAAGGGGAGCATTACTGGTTAAAAGTTTAACAATTAAATATATGAGGAAAGAACTTAAACTTAAAAATGTCTTTTAAAATACCTTGCAAGAATAGATGAAGTATATATGAAAGCTTCTTAACATAAGTTTTAAATTGTACAAATCAGGGCTACACGGTGATAGGGTAGGGACACATTAAGGTTTCATGTTGTTTAAACTGGAAAAAAAGTCTAAAAATCTCCTCTATAATAGCACGTCCATAATTATTTATATCTTACTTTCATTTGAATTAGTTCCGCCTCTGAAATTCCGTGTGTTATGCCTTGTTGAAAGATTTATATTGTGTGTAGAATTTTTGAGATCCATTACTGTTCGTTATCTTCGTCTTTTCCAATGTAGAATTTTTAATATCCATCACGGTGTATCTTCGTGTTTTCCAACTGGTCTGATTTGTCGAGAAACATTTGTAAAAAGGAAAAAAAAACCTCTGAATGATGAAACAACGCCTTCCAGCGTGAAAAAAGTAGCAACAGTCGACATCGCTTGATGTCAAGTGATATTCCAAAAATGTAGACTGCAAAGAATTTATTAGCGTGCGGTTCACTAATATATGCATTTGTATCAAATATTAAATGAAATATGTGGAGATAACGAACAGTATTCGAGCTCAAGAATCCATTATAATTAAATAAATATAATTTGTAGTTGAGGGTAACATTTAAAATTGTCAACCTAAGGAATCATTGCCTTCTGCGCCTTGGATGGGGCAACAAGACGGGTTTTACAGAGGAGAATATTTGAAAAACTTTCTAAAAATCTTCATGAGAACAGCTGACACATGATAAGTAATATGAATAAAAAAAAGAGATTTTCAATTAGAACACATTCAGTTTTATTTGAATAATAACTCTATTGGTGAGGACTTCACACAATGAGGAATCAACGATTTTTTTTTTTTTTTTTTGGGGGGGGGGGGGGATGTAGGAAAAAATTCTTTGCAAATCTCCCTCTCAAGAATAGAAGGGCAATTTAAAGATCTTGCTATGGAATAATTCTCAAGTAGTTTTCAACTCTTAGTTTCCGGAGAATTATTGGACGGTGTCAACTTGGGAATCAACGTTTCAACGGGAATTAAAAATCAAGTGGAAATACTGAAAAAATCTTTTTAAGAACAGAAAGGCCATGATCAGTGAAATTATTAAGCAAACAATATTTTGATAAGTTAAAATCCTAGTCTCTGGTGATAAGATAGGAACACAAATTGGGATCAAAGTTTACATGTAACTGTGTTATATTTTAGAGAAGTAGTAAATTACAATGCATTCTTAAGATATATCATACTTCAGTATATAGAAGAAAAATGTATTTTGTTTAATGTATTCCAAGGAAGGCCTTTAATTTATTGTTTGAAGGTTGTAAAGCTGGATACTACGGACCTAATTGTTCCCTCCCCTGTCCTAACAATTGTCGTTACTGTCATATAGAGACAGGAGTGTGTTCTTGGTGTAAACCTGGCTATCAGGGAGATCAGTGTGCACTAGGTTTGACATTGTAATTCATTTTATAAGAATCTTTAAAGACAACAAGTGCTATAATCATCAAAGTGCTTTTTTGAGACACATACTTCCCAAAGTTTTCAGATATATTACAGTCCATTACATAGTTTGTTGGTATTTTTTTTTAAATATTATAAGTAATGCATGTGTGTGCAAATGGGACATCTGGAAAAACATAATACATTCAGAAAATATTGTATTTGTTAAAAATTCTAATAGAATGTGATGGTGGCAGTTATGGACAAGATTGTAGATTGCAATGTGGAGCTTGTCTGGGATATAAACAATGTAATCACATCAGTGGTTCATGTCCTGTAGGCTGTGATGCTGGATATGAAGGGGAATTTTGTGATGAAGGTGATATAACTCGTGAAATGTTTCTAATCATGTATTTTTGACAATCATAATTTTTGCATCATTACATACAATTAAACAAATAAATCTAATAGAGGGATACAATATTAATACAGTATCTTTCACTTGCGAGATGATTATATTAATATATCTCTTAACATCATTACAGAGTGTTCGGTAGGAAAGTTCGGAAAAAACTGTGAACAAGATTGTAATGAAAACTGTAAGGATCCCTTTAAATGCAACGGAACGACCGGAAAGTGTAAAGGTGGATGTCAACCGGGCTGGGAAGGACTTCATTGTAGTAATGGTATGCTGTATTTAACAATTTGAAAAGTTGATGGTGTAGGGTACTTACATGTATCGGTATTAACGGTTAAAGTGTATTTATAAGTTTTCAGTTTCAATGGTTGATGGTAAAGTGTATTTAAAGTATTCAATGATTAAAGGGATAGTGTATTTAACAGTGTCAAATGTAAATGGTATAAGAGCTTATCAGAGTAAATGATTAATTATATGACAATTTAACGTTTGAATGGTAGATAGAAAAGAATTTCTTACAGTATTTATTGGTTTCAGTATATTGCTTATTTATCATTGTCAATAGGTGATCACTGTTAACGGTTAATGGTATACTGCATTTTACAATTTAAATGATTGATCGTATAGTGTAATTAACAGTGTTATTGGTATAGTGTACTTATTAGTGTTAATGATCAATGGTATAATGCATTTAACTGATTGAAATGTTGATGCCATAATGCACTTTTTATAGTTAGTGGCATAATGTACTTATCAATGTTAATGGTTAATGGTATAGGAATTTAACGTTTAAAGAACCTTTATTTAACAGTTTTAATAGTTTATTCTGCATGCTATATATTTATATACATGTACCTGTTTGGTTAATCCGTAATTAACTTTTTAAGGCATTCTTTAGCAATGTTTTTTAAATGAACAGTTCAAGAATAAAGTAGTATTTTCCCCAGATGATTACTAAATGTAATGAAAATATGTTTTCCTTACAAATGAACACTTGACCATTTGTTTACTTGACACAGTGGGTGCAAGAATTCAAATGGTGGGTATAAAAAACATTACCCTATGTTGACACTATCATAATGGATGCCCGAGAGTTACGTAGATATTTTACATTTTTTTGAAAACGTAGTCCTAGCAAGCCATATGTTAAAGAAAGAAAAATGAAAAAAAAATCACAAGGAAATCTCTATATTTTACATCATCAAAATACGAAAATCATCGTTAACAATCAATCCCAACAATACAATTTGCTTTAGAATCCCTATGCAATAAATATGGCTTAACCTGTTAATATATATGTGACGAAGTTATACGAAATTGAAATATGAAAGAAATCTTTGCTGACCTTATTTATTGCAGGGAAAATCAAAATATGCTATTTATTGATGTTAGTCTGACATATTTTAAAGGCAGTTAAAATTGCAGTTATGTAAGAAAGTCATATCTTCAACGAATGTTTAAAATTGAATACTATTTTGCCCTTTTCGTACAACTTAATAATATATCCATCCTCTCTTTTTAAACATGATGTCATTCTATTTGAATTAGAATGCTCCAATAACAGATATGGCGTAAACTGTAGTGAGCCCTGTGGTAATTGCCGGGATCCTTCCTCTTGCCACCACATCAATGGATCATGTTTTAGTGGATGTGGCAGAGGTTACCAAGGAGCATACTGTTTACAAGGTACCGTATATTTACGATATATATTCAGAAATAAAGTAACAATGTAATGGAACTTTCCTCCCTTATAATGAACTAAATATATAAATATATCCCTTGATACCTTAGAATATTTATGTCTCTCATTACTTTCAGAATGCAGTCCATATACTTATGGGTTTGATTGTATACAAAACTGCAGTAAGAGTTGTATTAATAATACCTGTAATATCGTCTCTGGAGATTGTCTAATTTATGGGGTGGGTGTATTAAGCTATGGATAAATGTAATAAAGATGTCTATCTCTCTTTATGTACTTCATAAAGTTTTATCAATGAATCACAAAATAACTACTGTGTATTTTACGCACATTTAAGGCCTCAACTCAGAATAATGATGGAAACAAACAGATAGCAGTCATTGGCGGAATTGCTGGAGCTTTGATTGCCGTTCTTGTAATTTTCATCGTGGTTCTGATATTGAGAAGGTAATCTTCACTTACGTCTTTCACAAAACACTGATTTCAAGGCATATCGGTATTGAACCTAAGTAATCTACTACTTGACCCTTATTACAACATCATTTTCTTACAATTATCCATCTAATTAATTAGGCACCATGTAAATAAAGTCACGGAAAAAACGAGAAGGACGAAAAAGACAGTGCAATGTGAGATATTTCTTATATATATATATATTTTTTTTTTTCTTTTAAAGTTAACTTATTTTTATACCTTATATAAAATCAAGACAATTAATCGATTTCTGTTTTAAGATGAAGAAGGAGATAGTGAGGAAAAGGTTACTGGCATTGATTCAAACAAGTCAACATTGTCGAAAAGACAAAGGATTAAAACTTCAGTGAAAACAAAAGATGAACAATATCTGATTAAAAAAGATGATAACGTAGTTGAAGTCGATGAAGATGAAATAGTTCACTCCGAGAACCCTTATGGTGAAATATACATGAATGATATAACTACCCCGGATATTCCATTGAGCCGGTTAGAAAGTGCCATTACTGAAAGGGGGAAAGATGATAATGATGGATTCCAAAAAGAGTACGCGGTACGTAAGATTTGAACGTTTAATAAAGTTTTTACATGAGAATCAAATGAAAATCTCAAATAAAAAACTTCTTAAAGATTTTTTTTTTTGAATTGAATAATAAACTGTGATATTCCTAAAAGCTGTTATACAATTTTCAACCTGTAAATTTCAATAATGTTTTTTGGGGGGGAGGGGGGGGCATTTTAAATTTTATTTGAATGTTAGAGGATTTGAAATGTTACTTAATATTTTAGAATCTGTATATAATATGTAAATAATTGAGAAGGTCTTTGAATTTATCTAGCTATTTTAAGATCTCACAACGTGTTCAAATAAAGTGAAACATTCTACATTGTTCCCAGATATTTTACAGTGTTGTTTAGATATGTCAGAACGATTGACAATTTAGTAACTCAAAAAGGAAGCATAAACCACAAAACAAGGCTACAAATTGAATATACCTCTTTCTTTATATGTTTCAGACATTACCTTACGGTGAAAATTACCAGTGTGATATCGGAAAAAGGAATGAAAATCTTCCTAAAAACAGATTTAAGACTACATTCCCTTGTAAGTCTATATGTTAGCTTAATTTATGTTTAATGACAACTGTTGCAGATAACCTGAAATATTAATTCATGTAAGTATCCCTGTATAAATTAAATATACTTACATACTTATGTTTACTTGGAACAGATGACCATTCTAGAGTTATATTAAAGACTGTACCGGACTACATACACGCTAACTATATAGAAGTAAGATTTTTTTTTATTATATTGCAGTATTCATACATGTATTTTTAAAAGACATTTACATGTACTTAAGTATTTTTAAGTCACCTGGGTCACTCAGTTGATGTATTGCTCAATGTTTTTGTCTATCGTCTTGCGTCGTTCCTTGAGATTTGAATATTTACAGCTTCTTCTCTAGGAACGCTGAGCAAATTTCAACCAGTGTTGGATTGTGGCATCCAAGGGAAAACAAAAATTGTGAATTTCATTGTCCCTACCCCCTGGGGGCCTGAAGGAGTGGGGCTAAAACCATCAAAATTAATCTTTTAAAATCTTCTTCTTTACTATGGACATCAAGCAGTTGAATTATGAGCATGATTGAATTTAAGCATTGAGCCTTTTACAAAAATTGTGAACTTTATTGCACCTTCGTCAGGGATTAAAGGATTGGGATGTTTATGGCACTGTTGATCAGATACTGAAAATCCTTACATTCTTTGGAAGTCTTCTTCTCTGCTCCTTTGTATGAAGCTGACAAATTAAACTAAGTGCATGGTTATGTTGTGCAATGGTGCACCTTCCCAAATTGTGAAATTTGTGGCCTCAGGGTCATAAGTTCTGGTGAGAGGAGAGGGGCTTTGTTGATCATATAGTAAACACGCAGGTACTGTATGTGTACTTAAAAAAGCGGGCTTCATATTTTAGCGGCTTTGGCACAGACAACGATGCTCTAATTCAGGAATACCGCGAAGAAATCATTTATAATTACAATACACGGGATGGACATGTATAGCGCTAATTCATGATTACGCCAACAACTCCATACCCAGAGATTGCGCTAAATTTTGAATACGCCAATTACGTACAGTATGTTATGGCATCACACAGAACATTATTCGGCAAATTCACAACTGTTTTCAGTAAATTGTAACATTGACAAATGGGAAAAGGCACGGATAAAACTTTTACTATTATTATCCATTATAGAGAGGATAATGAGTCTGGGGCTAAAAGCAGCACCCCGCTATGTCTTCATATGACGTCTATAAATAGAAAAATATAAATGAAATGTGAAAAGCTCAACACTACCACGGGGATAAATCATTTCTGTTGAAGAAAATAATAATAGTAAAACATCTCTGGACAATACAAAAGTGCTGCTAAAATCCTACTTTCCTGCCTTAGAAATAATTATCCCACTTTTATGCATGAAACTTAACTTTTTTCATATTTTGTACATACGGTCGAAGAATTTTCATCAATTTATGTTGACCAAAGGATTCTATAAGCACTTTTCAAGTACTATAAACACAAGCTCTCGATATGAACAAAAATTGTGTTACAAGATATGCGGCGTAGTGTTGAACTTTTTCATCTTTTTCATCTTTGTTGTTAAAAACGACAGAGAAAAGGCTGATCGGGATTTCAAAACACTACCTGTCTTCATTATCAGAAATAATGATGAAAATAAATCGACATGCCTGATTCTTCAAGTTTAATTCTTTATATTTACATTTACTTTGTTTTACCCTAATAAAAAGCATTATAAAATTACAAGTGATAACAGCACATAACACACAAGACCAAATCACCAAAGTCTGTCTGGCGTATGAATACAAGAACTACTTATTGTTTACAAACGAATCGTCTGCTGCTTAAGCATGGTTTTTGGGGACTTTGGTATCCAGTTCGAGGAATTAGACATCCTAAATTTCCTATTTGAGGAAGACAATGAAGACTTGGTTCCTCAGACTATTGAACTGGATGACCTGAAGACTGAAATTGAAAATGATAACAGTGGAACACTGACTACTGATGTTGAGAGAGCTCACACTCTCCAAGACGAAAAAGTAAGTATCATGCACTGAATTCAGCATGATATATTATATAAAAGTAAAAGCAGACAAGAAATGTCATTTTCATTGTTTAATTCTTACTTGAGTTTGCATTCAGGATCTACCTAAAAAAAGGTTTTAAAAAACAACTGAAGATGTGGAAAAGTTGTTTGAATCCAGACAGGCCCCCAACACTAAAAGAAACGCTTCATGGGGACTGAATTTTTTTCAAGGTACACAGACCTACACCTAAATACAAATACTCAGTAGTTGATAAGGACATACATATAAAAACAAATGAAACCAGGTTTTGTTGCATTTTTTTTTATTAAGCAACTAAAACGTGACCCACATGTTATATATATATATATATATATGTCTTTTTCTTGCAGAATGGAATCTGGAAGCTAATGGAAGTAATCTAGATATGGCCCTTGTTGACCCTCTTACCTTAGCAAACTGTTTGGGGCGTTTTTATTGCGAAGCCAGGCCTCAACCGAAAAAAAATCCAAGGCTGGTGAGATTCAAAATGAGGAACCAATTTATCAAAAAACAGCTTGATTAACATAAGGGCTGCCATCAATCCCCATCTTGCAGATTTAAAGATAGAGATTGATATCGTGCATGACAAGAAATTTAAAACTGCTAATGGTATTTTGGATGGGTTATTCAAAGAGAGAACACGGATGGGACTATTCAAACTCACACAACATAAAGCAGTTATAGATGAGGGAGACTTAGATAAAATCTACACATGCCTCCAAGGAGCAAAGTCATCTCCAGTCATTCTTCGGAATGCAGTATGGTACTTCCTTGCAGTTCATTTCGTTACCAGGGGCATGGAATTCCACCACCAGCTCCAGATTAACAGGTTTCAGCTTCATCATGATGACACTGGAAAATATGTAACATTAAGGCACGAAACTGTACAGAAGAATCGTCAAGGTGGCATTTCGTCTGACGATGAGTCACAACACTGATAAAAGAATGTATGCTACAGAGGATCCCAACTGTTGCCCAGTAGAGCTATTACAACTTCTCGTCGACAAAACAGACAAAAATGCCACTCACCTGTTTAACCAGTACTTCAGAGATGCCCTCCTGGACGCCGACAAATGGTTTTCTGCAAAGCCTCTTGCAAAACGCACCTTTGCAAATTTTCTAAGAGAAATCTGCACTGCAGCTGGAGTTCAGAAAAGTACACTCCTCATTGTCTTCGAGCGACAGCCATAACTTACCTTAACGACAATGACGCTCGCCATATTATGTTCATGAGCAACCATAAAAATGAGAGTTCTCTCCGTTCATATAACAAATCCTTATCTTCAAATCAGAAGAAATCTTTAAGCAGCACACTCTCGAACATGGCATCGGCGTCTCGACCTCAGTACTCCCAATGTGTCCTGAATGAAATGCCTGTTGTTCCTAGTCCAGCAAACACAGATGCTACTCGTCCGATACTAAGAGAAATTGATATGGCATCTAAAATTGTTAACATTTCTAACCTGGATATAAAGCAAAGAAATTAAGTGCATTGTTATAATGAACAAGGGTGCTTCTTTTAAAGTTGAGGATTTTATGGTTCCTGAGTGAGGGGTCTGGTGTAAGGGAGGGCTCAAATGAACAAACAGTGAAAATGCATAAATTCTTTTCAGAAAACTTCTCTTTCCTTGTATATTTAGCAGATAGACTGCGTGCATGGTTATGATAAGCGAGGGTTCCTCTTCCAAAATTGGTAATTTGTGGCCCGAGTCGGAGATTCTTGTGGGAGCGGCTGTATTGATTTTTTAGTGATTGCAAACAAATCAAATGCATAATTATAATGTGTAAGGATGCTTCACCAAAAATTGTGAATATCAAGGTTCCATGGTCAGGAGTTTGGCTGGAGGGCAGGGTTCTATTGATCCTAAAGTGAAAATGCATTAATAATTGAAAAATCTCTTTTTCTGCTTCTGGGTATTAGGCACACTAATTGCTAAGTTATGATGAGCAAGGGTGCTTCTTCCGAAATTTGCATTTCATAGCCCCTGGATTAGGGGTTCTATTGATTATCGGGTGAAAATGCACTGATTAATTGAAAATTGTCGCTGCTCCTGGGTATTTAGAAGATTCTAAATATATGGTTATAATGAGCACAGATGCTTTTTCCAAAGTTGTAAAATTTGTGAATTTTTGGCCTCGGTGTCAGAGGTTCTGGTGTTCGGAGGTGGGGTGAGTAGGGGGTGAGGGTTCTGTTGATCTCAAAGTGAAAATGCATTATTTCTTTGAAAACCCCTAGATAAACAAACAGAGTAAGTGCAATGTGTGCAGGGGAACCTCTTTCTTCAAAATTGTTCATTTCATGGCTCCTTTGTCAGGGCTTCTGGTGTCATGGTGGGGCTCTATTGATTATAAAATGAAAATGCATTATTTCTTCGAAAATCTTGTCTGCTCCTAGTTGTATTATACTAAGGTGGCCGTTTAGGTCCTTGGACCTCTTGTTTTTTTTTTGTTTTTTTTGTTTGTTTTTTTTTTTTTTTTTTGTTTTGTTTTTGTTTGTTTGTTTGTTGGGTTTTTTTTGTTTTTTTTTTTTTTGTTTTTGTTTTTTTTTTTTTAAATTATTCTTGATATCTTGTGTAAAAAATAAACATAATTGCTTAGAACATTATTCTTGAAGAACGTTTTATTAGTTCTATTTAGATTTATGTTTATCGAAATAAGAATCTAATTCTATTTATGTTATTCATATTAACATTTTAGGGTGCTGATAGAGAAAATGAATACATCGCTGCACAAGGTTTTATATTACTTATGAATGTGAAAACTTTAACTTAATATGCAAGTGTAATAAACATTAAAATAAAAAAAAAATATCTGCTTCCTATAACACTAGGATCGTTGCTATTTATATCAAAAATTATACGTCCACTTTTTAATGTGCACATTCAATATTTAAAATCTCAAATTCCACTTGATGACTCACTGTGTTTAGTAAATTTGTGTCTAAAAATGATTTCCCTAAACTTCTATATATTTACCTGCAAATGCATGGTAAGTGAATTTCGGCTTTATTATATGTTTTGAAATTTTAGATGTGAAAGATATATTTATATATCGGGGGAGGGGGGATCTGCTGATGAAGAACAGCATGGAAATAGTGACTCAAATGAATGTTGTGGGTCGTTGGCCTGTTGTATTATTCTGTTTTTAGGACCAAAACAGAACACTGTTTGTGATTTTTGGTCAATGGTTTGGCAAGAAAATGTTTCTGTTATTGTAATGCTGACGAATCTCAAGGAAAGAAATAAGGTATATTACGGTGAAAATAATTAAGTTTTATTGAAGTTCCAGATGCGGAAAAAGCGAAATAGTCTGCTCTTGATGCATATTGAATTATTAAAAAAACTAATTGTTTTCTGTACTTTCCTTGGCTGTTGATACTTTGAAGAAAAAAAAATAATGAACGGAATACTGCCGGTATGTGTCTTCGAAAGTTAATAATATCTCTGAAACTGCATCCTAAAACTTGGTTAAATTTAATTTACTCTGTCAGAATTGCTCCTCACCACTTTTTCCGGAGCATCCATTTAATGTAGAAATCTGGGCTTTAGTCCCTTCTTACGGTTCATAAGAACAGAATATTACTTTGTCATTTATAATACATTGCCGAAGTTTGTGTACTTCAAGGTGAAGTGCACCCAGTACTGGCCGGAAGGAAACAAGCACATAATCTACGGAATTGTGTCAGTAAAAATGATCGAAGAAAAAGAATATGCATTCTACATTGTACGAAAAATGACTGTAATTCATAGGGAGGTGAGTATGTCCTACCAAACCAGTACGAACTGTATTTGCTTATCCTATTACTTTTATTTAAATTTGAAAAAGGTTCTAAATATATTGAAAAACTTTTAGTGTACATTTAAAACCAGACCAATTACTTTAAATTGCTTTATCACATCAACATTATGAGGTGATGTAAATGATTCTTTTTTAAGACAAAGAAGTCACGTGTGGTGACCCAGTTTCATTATACTTCTTGGCCTGACCACGGAACCCCAGATCCTCTGTGTCTTGTTGTTTTCCTTTATCACGTGACCCGAACTGGGACCAGTCAGACCGAATCTCCTACTGTTGTACATTGCAGGTGCCTTGTGCTTCGGATTTGTTTATTTTTTTTTTTTTTTGTTTCTTTCTTTCTTTTTTTAATGAGTTTTGATCTTTTAAAATGAATTTTTATTTTAAAATGTTTCATAAATGTTTGGATATGTATAAAATTTAATGATCCAGGATCTACATAGGGAAATGTGATATTGACTAGATGCATGTAAATTTACGAAAATATATATGAATAAATGTGTTGCCTGATTTTTCAGTGCAGGAATAGGTAGAACGGGGACGTACATAGCATTAGACGTCCTCAACCAGATAGGAAGAAAGACGGGGAAAGTGAACGTAGCAGAATTTGTCAAGAAGATGAGAGAAAACAGGATGAATATGGTCCAAACATATGTGCGTCATCATTTTTGAAATACTCATAACTGGCCTAAATCAGTTCTCCAAAAAATATTAGTTTTAGAAAATAACAAAGCAAAAAAGAGTTGGTTGATGAAGGAATGCTGAAATAACAATCCTTGTTTACAATCATAAAGTAACAGTGTATTTGCACTGACACACTGAATTGACAGTCTATGGCAACCCTTCTAAAATAAGAGTTTTTGTTCAATTTCAATACAACCGTTCACGGAAACTCCGTCGGTAGAGCGCTCGCTCCGTGATCGGGAGTTCGTGAGTTCGAATCTCGGCTGCGACTGACCTAAATCGGAAAAAAAAATGGGTAGCAACTGTTCCTTCGCCATGCCCTCGACGCTTTAAATTGAAAATTGCGGGTCCTTCGGATGAGACCTTAAAAACTGATGTCCCGTGTTACGACAGGCGTAGGCACGACAAAGATCCCTCACTGCTCAATGGCGATGAGTGCCGTGTAAAGGCCCTTCACCGGTGTATGGTGACGTCTCTATATGAGTGAAAAATTATCGAATAGGACGTAAAACAAGATACAATCAATCAATCAAATCAATACCGAAAGAACTTTCGGTGTGTAAAACAGTACTTAAATAACTGTTTATCTCAACCAACTGAAAATCACTGTCTATGTCAAATAACAATACTAATAAAACATGTGACAACCCTGCTAAACGCTAATCTATGTAAAATAACAATGCTGAAAAAAAAAACAGTCTCAATCAGAGCTCTTTAATAACAGACTTTGTCAACCATGCCATAGCATACACTCAGAAAATAACAATCTAGCTGTTTAAAAAATGAACCTTAATAAACAGGTTTTTTCTTTTTCATTTCCATATTTCTATGATAAATTATTTGAAGAAAAAAAAACAGTACGAAAACAGGCAATATTTCTCAGAGATTTAAGTAAATGTCAATCTTATTATTGCCTTTCATCATGTTATTCATTTGTTGAAAGTTTTTTGAAACTTAATAAATACAATTTTTTGCCATTCAGAAAAGAAATTTAACACTGATGATCTTTAATCATCATTTGATACTGGTTTTAAAATTATTTAAAAAAACAAAAGCTTAAAAATTTATTCAGGTGTTATTTTATGCAACTGGCTAAGGAATGACATTTAGATCTTTAAAACAAAAGATAATTTGAATAACAAAAAATGCTTAAAAATCTTGTAATGTAAACAAGAAAAAAATTATTCGTATTTCCTTGTTGATTTAATTTGATATGAACTCAAAGATTAACCTTTTTTCTTCATTTTCCTTTTTTAAATCATATTTTGTTATTAACATGATATATTTTGTATTCTAACAGAACAAAAATAATATTTCAGGAGCAGTATATAACTATTTTCCTTGCCTTAAACGAAATATACAAATCCCCTGTGAATGTAAAAACAATTGAAGAGTTCACTGAAAAGGCACAATCCATCACAATGAACAAACCAGCTAATCAGAGCAAACTTCATAAAGAATTCCAGGTACTGAGTAATGGATGAGTTAAAGAATTACAAATCAGCAACAAAGATGAGTGTCTGTCTGAAAGAATATGTAATGTTTACAAGGAGTTATTGGCTTGGTGAATGCATAGAGAAAAACGTTGTTGAATATGTGAGTGAGAAAAAAAGAAAAGGGTAGGGAGAGCGACGAAGTGAGAAGTAAGAGTGCCTGCATTCGTGTGTGCATGCATGAGTAATTAATTGAGTGATCGTACGAGCTAGAAAGTCGGTGAGCCAGGAAGAGTGTAAGTGAATGAGTGCGTGAAGATAAAGAACATTGTTCGATCCTAAGATAATATAACAAACAATACAAATCTGAACAGGGCATAGAACATGGACCCCGGACATTAAAGTGGTGGGATCAGGTGCCTAAGATGAGTAAAGATCATCTCTGTATCTGACATGACCGCCGTGAGCCCTATGTATTGATAAGGTAGACTGAAAAGTAAATGAGATAGCGAGTGGATAAAAGTAAGTGACTTAGTGAGAGAGCAAGTGATTGACAGAGTAAGAAAATTCAGTGAGTATGTGAGTAAATGAGAGAGTGAGTGAGCCAATCAGTGAATGAGTGTGTGATCCAGTGAATGAGTAAGGATGACATACTTTTGTCCAGGAAGGGAGGGAAGAGAGTATTGAAACAAGTCGTCAGATTCAATACGTATAGGAAGGATTGTGAAATTGACAGTCTTTAAGTCTTGAAGTCAGTGAAAACACTGATTGAGTATAGAAGCGTCTGAAGACTTTGAAATTTCTGGTGCTTGAAGGAGATAATAATAATGAAAGTAAAAGTTGGGGTATTTTAATAAAACTAGATGCAATCAGGACAATCCTGTGTTTACTACTGTAAAATAACTCTAGTTTTTCTTGGATGAATGTCTTTTTAGATAGCGGTTGATATTTTAAGTGTTTTGATGAATGTATATTATATTGATATAAGCTAAAATTACGGTAACTTGATGCGTCTACTCGCAATCAGGGTATTTTTATTTTTTAAGTCTGATATAGTTCCTTTTAGTGTTTCTTGACTAAATATATATTTATGCAGCTTTTGATGAAAGTACGACCAACATACACTGACTCTGATTACAAATTAGCTAAAGAAGGCTGTGATGGTGCACACACGAATGGTATTTTACCTTGTAAGTATTAAGTTGAGGCATTTGAAAGGGAACGACGGGTCTAGAATAACATAATCGTTCACTCATTTGATGAATTTTTTTGTTTAATTTCTCTAGATACTGCCATTTGTTTAGACTTAGTTATATATTATAAAACAAAAATTATGTGTAAACTGACTGCTGAAAGCTTCCTGAATGAAATAATTATATGGTTTACGCTCTTGTTAGATATTTCCCACAAAATCCCTACTTTTTATGGCTACTTCTGTGCACTTGGTTCCAAGTGTAGACACTATCCTGTCAGAATCAAGAAAAAAAATATGCTTTCGATTTTACTGTGAATCTTGACGTAATGGAAGTGATATTATTTTTATTTATTTATTATTAGAATTGAGGAAAAATAGAAAAGGATTTAATAAATTCATGCACTCATATATCTTGGAATGGAATTGGATTTTACATTGCCATGTTTGCCTATTTAATTTGAATTTAATAATTCAATGAATTTTTCAGTTAAGTTTTTCTAGATATAAAATGTATTTGAAATAGAGTTCACCTTTTCTAAGGATTGCATGAAATCATTACTTCTTTATTGGTTCATAAAATATACACTTTATTTCATTAAATAGTAGATAAATTTATTGTCCATCTCTCATCTGTTGTGTCCAAAAGAGGAAGTTTCATCAACGCAATTTATGTACCAGTAAGGACAAATATGTTTTGTAATAATGATGTTCAAAGAAATTTTCCCAAAAAATGAAATCTTACACATATATAACATATATAACAATTTCATGAAGATTTCCTTTTACTTTAGATAATGGCCGTGTATTACGGATCATTATTTGTATTTTTAAATAAAAATCATACAGTGTAGAGTTCTTCGGCTTTCACAGTTTGAAGGTTGAAAACGGGTAATTTACTGTTTTCATTTTTACAATTATAGTCATATACCAACAGTAGAGGGTTCATAGTGACGCAGTATCCATCAACAGAGGAGGTTGTAGACTTCCTGAGCCTGCTCAATGATCATGAATCTGACACTGTAATTTGTATGGACCCACTGAATGAGATTGATTCAGTATGTTATTGAAAAATACAAAACGTATATTTTCGCACTGAAAAGTAGAGAAAATAGTGGTATTGTAACATTTGTGCATTTTCTAATGTATCCAAATCTGAATTAAGATAATACAGAATTGATTAGGGAATTTTAATTTGTTGCATGAATAATTAATTTGAATGATCAAAGTGAACGAACCTGGATTTTTTAATAAATGTTAGTGATAATTCAAATTTTGATTATAGAGGTAGTAATTACTGTTGAGCGTTGAGAGCTATGAATTCTTTTGCACGTACACTGTACTTCAATTTTTTTCAAATCTAGAGTACAAAATGGTTACCAAGTCCCTCTTCTTCCAAGGTAGTCACTCCTTTTACTGTTCACTATCAATCAAAGACCGGTACTGACGTCATAAGTACTAATATACACGTCATACAGAATAATGTAAGTAATTTTTAATAATGATGATTCATACGTGTATATAATTGTTGAGATGTACATACATCCTTATCGTGTTTAATTCAGAATACAATATCTGAGTTGCATTTTTTTTAAATCAAGTCGAATGTAACTGCTTCTAGAATACCACATTTTAACATCGGAATTAATTGTTTAAAATTTTTATAATTCATTTATAAAACACGATAAAGATGAGATACATGTATGTTTCGTTTAGATGTACATTTTTTTTTTTTTTTTTTTTTTTTTTTTTTTTTTGCTTTATTTTATATTTACTAAATTTAGAGTGAGGAGGAAGCTCAGTCAATTACGATAATAGAACCGAAAGTTGCCATCAAAACATCCGGAAACCCTCTAGACACAACCCAGCTTAGAGGACTTGTACCTGCTGCTCTGAATTCTGAGAAAGAAAAACCCATTACAGTTGTCAGCAAGTAATTAATCTATAAATAAATAATGTGCTTAAGAAAACTTTGATTATTTTCTTTATAATTTAATTTCATTGTAACGCATCATTTGATTGGATAAAAAATAGAATAAATTTTATAACCTGGGTTGCCTACGTCACAATGACTTACGTCAAAAACGTATCAATCCACTTGACGTTACATTTAAAATACGTACAATTTGAGGGCATTTTTGACGGAGAAATTGTCTTATTTTTTACACTTAATGATGGAAAATTAAATTATCAGGAATTAATTAAATAGCTACCCAAGTTATTCTAGTATAACCTGGGTTGAAACAGTTTACGCTTTTTTATAAACCGCTTCGAGATTTATAAAGCGTAAACTGCCCCAACCCAGGTTATACCAGTATAAACTATTAAATTTATTCCTTAAGTGGCAGCAAATAATTTGTCATCAGCTTGTCTGCAGAATGTAGATTTGAAATCCTGTCCTATTACAGTGTTCGTACATTCTTTGAAGACTCTCAAATGGCAACTGTTTTGCTAAGATTTGTCTGTGTGTTACAAATTGCATCAGTACCTTTTTTTCAACTATTGACTGAAAACAATTTTAGCATGTTGTTAAAACATCCCATGTCTCAGACCTGGGAACGATATGTTAATAATAATAATCCCAAATAGTGCATATGTTTGTAACCTTAACAAATATATATTTTACTTCTAAAAGTATACCTCACCTTGAGCAATGTTTTTAGTTGACCTTGATATTTCAAAACGCTCATAAATTGGGGTTTATGGTTTTTCCTTCACGTCACTTTTTTACCAAAGGAGACACTCAACATTTATAAAATGTGTCTGCCTTTATCAATGCAAAGACAAGATCGGATAAGAATTCTTAAGCATAACTCACTTTCTGAATGTAAAAGGTGGGTCAATGTGAATATAACGAAGCTAAAGCATATATAAAACAAAATTCGATGAATTTATGATATTTTTTACCGTTATCAGGTTTTATTTAATCAATGAGATCAAACTAATATGATGGATAAACAAACGCGGACCAAGAGAGGGTCGATGAGTCTTGATCCTGCCCCCCCCCCCCCCCCCGCATTGGAATTTGTACAGTCACTAAATTTCGATGTAAAGTATTTTTTTGAAAAAGGACTTTGAACCCCACCAACTCCCATGGAAACTCATAACCTATTCCAAGTGAAATGGCAAGGGGAATGATGTATAAGAAAAAATTGAGAATGAATGTGGCAACTTGTCTAACCCCCTTTCAGTATTTTTTTTTTTCAGAATTGAGCAAGTGATTTACCATTTTTGGCGTGTCAAAATATTTCTGAGTTTCATAATTATTTGAGTGGGTGTGGACACTCCTTAAAAATACTGGATCCGTCCATGATATGATTATAGTTTAGAGGAGCAAAACGCTTTCTCTCTTCGTTTATATATAAATTAAGTTTTTCCTTTCTGTGAAATAGCCTCTATTGTCACAAACACATTTTTTTTGTATTTGCATAAATTTCTTTTTTGCTTACATTTTTCGTCTGTGACAACAGAGATGGCGCATCCCTGTCAGGTGTTTTCTGTGCCATCCACAACGTGATACAACAGATTAACATGGATGACAGGGTAGATGTCTTCATTGCCGTCAGACAGCTTCAAGTTCGAAGACCAGAGTTCTGCCCCAATTTTGTAAGTAGCAGTCGCAACAATAGTATTTGTGGAATATACCTGAATAGCTTTTAAATTATGTCCCTTGCAAAATAAAATTTTTAAAAGTCGAATTTGATGTATATGGGGATGCATGCCATGACGCATATTGGGATCAGTTCATTTTGGTTTTGAAAGTAGTGCTGGATAGGAAGATTTTTTTTTTTTTTTTTTTTTTTTTTTTTTTTTTTTTTTTTTTAAAAACATTAAATGGCTTATACACGTAGTGATCTCGATTTCTGTATAGTTCTGTATATTTTCTCTTAATTGTTTGCAATATTATTTTCATTTTCTGTATCAATGCCTGGTTAAAGATTGAACTGTCTATAATGTACCATGGGTATCGTTATCGAAACTGCTTCTTCACGCGGGAGAATTGCCATCATTGCATATAGCTGTGTCCGAAATATATCATACATGTGAAGACTCTTAGTATTTCTTTGTCAACCTTGCAACGAGGTACATGATCGTAATATTTCTGACGGTATTTAAAATCGTAAAGTTGTAAATTTCGGTAATATTCGATATTGTTCTCGAATTTTCTTTTGCACGATATTGTATATTCTTGATTGTTCAACATTTAAACAAGATGAATGCACTGCATTATACGTTTGGTAACATTCTGCAAACAAAAATCGATTAAATCGATAAGAAATAAAAATATCAAGGAATTATACCTGAGAAGTAAAATACAACATAATGAAAAAACTGTAAACTTTAAATGTTCATTGCACTGCCCGTTCTTACCTGGTAATATTTTCTGACCAATCTATTGGGTGGTCAGATATACAATGGGAAGAAAGAGATGGGTTTTGCGGGCCAAAAAGTGTAAAAGGAAAAGGAAGATACAGTGGCTACAACGTTATTGTTGAGAAAACCAATCGTGTAGAATCGTTCGTGTAACGTGCGTGATCGTTCGTGTAACGTGCGAGATCGTGCGTGTATCAGACTCAATCGTTTGCGGGTTTAATCGTGCGTGATCGTGCGTTACGAAACGTGTAAATTTCGTTTTGTAAGTTTTTATCGGAATGTTATTTATTATACAAGCATTTCGCTTGTCTAAATTTTTTCCAATCCAAATAAAATGAATGAAACGCGATTTACATAATTGAAAGCAGAACGAACTAATTATCGCTTGGAAATAAGCAATATAGTAAGTCGTACAATATTGTGTTCTCGTCAAATCGCGTGACTTTTTTGTGATAAACCGTACTAAGGATTTTTTCTCTGATGTTAATTATGTTTACTGCTAATTATGGTCAAGATATTTTTAAAATCAATAGATCAAAAATTGATATTTTTACAAATACATAAATAAACAATTCTCTACGCTTACATAAATATTTAGTCCACGAATGTACATGTACACGACATGATTGTCGGGGTTTCGTTTATCAGTATTTATCTCTGGAGCTTACTTTTAACTATTTTTATAATTTCTGCAAATAAATGATTTGTAAAATAATTGTTGATTTAAGAGATTCACAAATGGAAACATGGATTAGACTTATAATTTAATTCATTTTCATGCAAATTTTTTTCAGACTTATCCCTTTCTGCATATTATGAAATCTAATTCAATCAAAACTCACGGCCCACCTTCATGTACATCTTCTGATAGAAGGAAAAAAAACAGTTTTCTTAAGTCGGAGAAATACGTAAATAATTGTTTGTTATCTATTGTATTTAGTTTCAGAAATATCCATTTCTATTTTTTCTATTATGTTTGAAAGTCGATGAAATAATATCAATAATTATTTGAAATCTAAAATAAATATTAAGGCTTATTTCGTTTTGAAAATATCCATTTCCTAAAGAATTTGAACTATTTTGCTTGAAGAATCGTGCGTTTGCGTTTGCAATCGTGTAAGATCGTGTAACGTGTAGAATCGTGTGCGTGAGGGATCGTTCGTGTAACAGGTCTTATCGTGCGTTAATCGTGCGGAATCGTTCGTGCAACGTGATCGTTCGTGTAGATTGTCAACAATAACGTTGCAGCCACTGTAGGGATATGGTATAGATAGAAACGAGTAGAAAGAGGGAGGAGAAGAATGGATTAACCAAGAATTGCCCACCATCACTGTTTGCTGTGCAAGGTTGTGGTGATACAGTAATATATTGTTTATTTGACACAATAAAAGATCAGGGATTGTGATGATTTCTGAAAGGTTAGGGCTCCCTTTCCTTCCTGTGAGTTACTTCAAAATGAGGTTCCGTGGGGTTTCTTCGGGCTTTCCCCGAAAGTAGACGTTTGCATTTTTCCTTCAAATGTCCTTCGTTATGATCGGGCAAACGGGGAGACCTGTTGTCATTTAAGAAATAAATAACAAGTTTAAAAACTTCAATGGGAATTGAAGTGGGTCGGTCACGTGATCAAATCCTGTGAAGGCCGAAGGCCTTCTCAGAAGATTTGATCACGTACCGACCCACTTCAATTCCCATTGAAGTTTTTAAACTTGTTATTTATTACTTATATATACATTTGAGACGGACAATAGAATGTAATCAAATATAAATATTGCACTAACTGTACGTCGTAGATTTTGACAAATTACGCTAGGTGTAAATCGGCTTGAAAAGCGGTTACGCTTCAAATTCATCAGGCAAAGGATTCTGTTTTGAAGGGAATATTCTGTGAAAGGCTACTTGTGATCAATTATAGTGAGCATATTGGTGTCTGGGAATTTTTGTATTCATGAGAACCCATATTCGATATTAAAAAAACACAAGAAACACGTCCGATGTTTGATAATAAAAAGTTGGAGGAATTTCGGTCGGAAAGGGATGAATGGAGACACTTGTCCGGACCAGATAACTTGAAATCAAGTACAAAATTTGATCAAAAACATAAAATCTACGATTTCAGTAAGGCATATTTATTAATTTATGATGTTGACGTGGAGACACTGGCGACAGCTTACATTGGTAAGACAACGTCACAACGATTTCGATGATGGAGGTGTGCCTACCGAACTTCCAAAGTGCAGTGTTTGTGACGTGATTGCATTACATTGATATTTTTCAACAGATTTTCAAATTTATTGTGAGTAAAGTTTAATGAAAAAAAATTATAGCATTCAGAGGTCTGCGAGAAAATAAGGGTAAACGTTGAGACTACGCAGCTCAGACATGGAACTTATAACATGTAGTTTTCTATTCTCTACGTAAAACCGATCAAAAACTGTATTAAATACTCGTTTACATTGTAAATAAAATGATTATTATTTTACTTGCGTAATTTGTACATTTTTATGCATGAAAAACATGCTATATTGCTTAGTGGAGTAAGTCTTTTTATGTAGATATATTACTGCGCTGTGTGATTAGGTCACGTAATGACCTATGGCCTTCGAAAAACTTCATACAGGTATGAAGATATTTGCTCTCTGCATGTTTATATAATAGAGAGATACCACAAATGTATATATTTCAGTGTGAAGAAATGACCTAAGGATTTGTTAAATGATGTCAAGCAACATTCGAAATAATATATGGAATTTGTGAAGAAGTCATTGTATCGATCTTAGAATTTGTAAATGTTGACTTCAAACGAGATTGTATATAGCCTTGTATCAACAATGTGTTAGTCACCAGGGGGTCGTAACATAAAGCTTGCTAAGTTTTTGACTTAAGTAGGGTCATGAGTATGTTTTAGGTGCAGTCTTAAGACCTGCCTAAGTACTACTTAAGTATGTCTTAAACCGTAACATAAAACGGACTTAGCTAGGTCTTAGCTAAGTCAAACTTATGTTCAAAATATTTGTTATGAATCATCCTAGTTTTCCAATTTATCTATATATATATTTGTAAAAATGATTTAGTTACGTTTTTAATCACATATATATTAAAGTTGATGTCCTTACCTATCGGTTTTAGCTAGGCTAGATTAGATTTCGTATTTGATTAAAGTTAATTCTGTTTAAATTATTCGAAATATTTGAAAACAAATATTGCACGGTCACAACGTGGCATTAGTGGTTCATTGTAAATGCGTGAATATTGTTTATCACTCGAGACTGCGATGTTTTCAGTTTACCGTTTGTTGTTATTTTTTTCGTTTGACAAATGTTCCCTTGCTTTCAAATTGTCATTCTCGCACACATGGCACGACATCTATGTACTTTAAACTGAAATTCTAAAAAAAAAAAGTAAATAACAAAACAAAGGGGACAATTCGATTTTTTTCCCCTCCCATTTCAGCAAGCAGAGACTGCAAACGTTTTATGACATACTTATTTACAATTTAATGAAGGATGGAAAAGAATTGTTTTCAGAAAATAATGTTTCGTAGATCTCCAACTTATCAACAACTCTCTCTCTCCCTCCCTCCCCCCCCCCCTCTCTCTCTCTCGAACGTTAACGGTAGTGAACCCTATCTGAATCCTCGCTACATTCAATCTAATTTACAGAAAATCTTTATCAGTTTTCTAGTCATCATCCTTTAATTCGCCGACAATTTTTAAAATCATTTCATCTCATTTTTTCACAGTGAACAAATCCATGATTACTGTATACAATTTACTTATAATGATTAGTGTTTATAACCTAGGTCCCACTAATGTTTCAAACGTATCCCAAAAATAATATTTTGCAATTACATGTATATGTAGTTTGGAGAGTGACATTGGAATCAGTGATGAATCCCCCCTCCCCCCGACGAAAAACTATAAAATTCTTATACCAGTATATTTAAATATAGAAAATTATTTTTTAATGCATAATATAAATAGAGGGATGTTTTAACGTATAAAGTCAACCTTAAATAGTTCTAAATATATGTTTAAGAAAGTTAAGACATACTTAAGTCACCTCTACCGGCCGCCTAAGTTTTGCTAAGATTGTCAAATCTTAGCACGTTTCTAGTTATGGTCTTAAGTTTAAAACTGTACCTAAGTCCTTCTTAAGCATGGTCTTAGACTTAAGTACCATTTATGTTCCGACCCACTGAATATACGCAGGTAGGTTAAGGCTTCCCATAGAATATCACAGTGCAATCTGTGCCTTCACTTCTCTGAACTACCAAAATATGACGTCATAATGGAAAATGACGTCAAGTCATTGCCAACTTGAGGTGTTATGACGGGGAAAGTGTCATGAACTTCACATTTTATTTCAAACGGCATGTAAAATGCTAGACAGCTATTGCAAAATTCAAGGGTCGTTAAAGGATTTTTAAATCTTATATGTCCGAATATTTTAAAAATACATAGCTTACGTACTCTTGATTGAAATTCAGCATGTTCAAAATGCTTACGAAAAATATACTTTTGAAACGTACTCTGTTTTATACCCGTGGTTGGAGGTAGAATTTATTTTGTGTATATAAAAGAGTCTGGTGCAGGTGATTAATGAGGATTAATCTGAGATTTTTTGTGGAAATCTGTAAGAAGAGTTTGTTCTCTAACTGAATCTTGCTTGGGATAAATGTGTGATGGCTTTGTTTCAATACAGTTTACGATATTGTGTGGAAAAAACCCTCAAATTTGTGGGTAAGTTGAATTTCTCAAGAAATATTTTGTACCCAACTAATACTTTGACTTTTCCCAAGCACATTTCGGGTTCACAGGGATACGATGAATTTATTTATATAACAAAATGTCAATAATTATTGTGTTAATCAGCTGCGCCGAAGCGATTTATGTGAAACACTTCAACAGATATAAATGTCCGTCACGTGATCAACAAAGTCATGTGATATCATAACAAATACGTTAATATATAGTCGAACCCTCTATATAAATTGGAAGTACTAAAGCACAATACTTATGAACTAAAACCAAAACCGACCTCGCAATGCAGTATTATGTTTTGAGCGCATTTTTAAGCTTCGGGAAGCCTTAACATAGCTGCGTAAGTCCCATATGCAGATTAAAGTGGTATATTTCTGCATCAATAAGGGAAGCTGACGATAGAAAAGATGAAGTCATTATTTATCATAAAGTTTATTTGTTAATGTGCAATCAATGGCGTTATTTTTAGTAAAACATTGGTAAAATATTCAAATATTCGAATCAACCAGACATGTCACTCTCCTTTGCGATCTTTATTTCAATTCCAGTGGGATATATCGAATTAAAGAATGAAAGAAAATAATATTGCTAATTGATAAAACTTCCTCAATATTTTACATGTCGAATTGAATGCAACAGCAAGAGACTTCTGTTCAAGTGGATGTTTAGGAATAGATTCTTCATTAGAATACAAAATATGCCAGCAAAGAATGGGACACAACCAGTACACATTTGTGAAAACCTAGTCTACAAAGACTACAAAGACATTATCAATAGAAAATTCAAATTTCAACTTCTTGTGGGTGATATCAGATTGGTTTCTAACAAATTAAATTTTGTAGATGACCAAAGGAAAGATATGAAACATTTTTATTTAACGAGGTTCGCTCCTGAGCTTTTGAGCAGATTTATATCTTAACCTATATTTCAAAAATTCTGCATAAAGTTATAATTCTTACAATAATTTTGAATTCTATAATGCCAATTAAACTATATTCAGTTAAAACTCCATGATTAAATTCCATACCAAAAGCATTAAGTGAGGAACTATATTTTGTGGCGGAAGGTTTTTTAGAAGAAAATGATCATTTTTTCTCATTCGAAGTATTTAAAGTATGCTAAGTTTGGATTCCTATTTTTACATGCAGTCTGCACTCAGAGTTATTTTGTGCAGTGAACTGTTTTATACTGGTCCTAAATTATATGTTAAATAAACTTTCATGAATTCTATCATCATATTTGATAAATATAGCAAATATATTGTGAAAATCAAGAAAAAAATTTCCCTATTTTAAGCTTAAAATTAGCACTATTTTAGTAATATCTAAAAATTAACATCACAGAGCCCCACTTTTTATTTTCTTTTCTAAATATATAAGATACTTTTAACCATTCCTCTTAAAGTCAGTAAAATGTCATTACTTTCAAATGATATTTTTGCTTGTTAAACTTTTAATGCCAGAAAAATGAATTTTTTTGAGTGCAAAAAGGTCAAATAACTGAATATGCGGAGTAATTTGAAATTTTTTTACTTGTCACAAATTTTAATGTGTCTATTCAAGATGAAATAAGACTGTGTTTGTTCCCATAATTTATTTGAATAAAAAATATTGGAGGAAAAACTTTAAAAATTGATTTATTTGAAAGACGTATTTACAGTGCAAAAAGGTCAAACTAAATGCTCTGTAGTGCCAAAAGAAGCGCATTGACCCCCATTTTTTGTTTTGATTTTTAATTAAGCTATGTGTATAAATTCTAAAAATATACTTGATTAAAAATTCACATTACTTTTGATGGCAGGATCCAACCTCCTTAAGAAAGGAGTTGTTTATGATAAAATTCCGATTAGGTTATACATTTTAAAGAACTAAAAATGGCAGACGGAAAAGTCGAAGAAAGAAAACTCCTTTATATGTAAACAGTTATTTCCCACTGTTAAACGGTTATATAACTGTTGAAATATAATTATGTGTTCTTACACAACACATAATGGATATTCATATTTCTAAGCGACAAGGATTTTGCTTGAGAAAAATGTTGTTAAATTCCTTATTATTTAAGAAAATGTTGACATTTCAATTTAGTCTATTCGTAACTACATGTATACGCACCTTTGATTACCTGACCAGGTCCAGAGAGTCACGAGATGACCTCCTCAAATGTCAATAAATGTTTGAATATAAACTCAAATAAACAAATACTAATGCATTCAATAATGATGAACAGAATAAATGTTTTTAAATTAAGCAAAAACATATTCTTTTTCAGGATGAGTACAGTCTGGTCTTTAGATCCGTATATGATCACATACAAAGTTCCACGGAAAATATTTACAGCAATCAGTAAATGGTGGATACAGAAATGGTGTACCTTTTATAAACTGAGAAATCATATCATTAACTTGTGAGATTGTGTGGTTTTCCTTTGCCAAATTTGAATATGCTCAGGAATTTGTCAATGTGATCTACACACCTATGATGCCAAAATCGTTAAAAAATCTTTGTTGATTAAATTAATAAAAGAATGTAGAGTTAGATACATGATTACACATTTACCAGCCTAAAGACGCACCAAAAACCTTGTGTATTTCAATAGATTTTAAAAATTCAACAATTCCCTGTCGGACACATTCAGAAAAATTCTGTATATGCCAGCAACAAAGTCTTCAGGAAAATATTTCTGATTGTCTAGAGCATCCTGTATCAGAACCAGAGCTTATTCCTTTGCAGGATATTATAAAGTATTATAAAATGCAAGACTAAAATGAACAAACCCTTCATGCTTGAATTTTAAAGTTAAGTAAATCAGATTTCATGTTTGCCTCTTATTTAAGGTGTATTGAATATTTTTGTGAATTTATACTATTTTTTATCATGGTATATAGTCAATGCAATACGGTTTTTTTTTTCATTACATAAACCATTTTGTACAATAAAATGCATGTCAGTCAATAAATTCATTTTTAGCTTATGCAGCTATTGACTTCAAACTTTTTTTTATTTAATGAAAATGCTTGGTCTTATCCCTTAACTTTCGTTTTGTTTTTACTGATCAAGTATGGTTTTGTTTTATACACAAAAGATCAATCATTCACATAGTGTTATACAGTCATTCATTTTTTTTCCCTGAAAGTTATTAGTGCATATGTAACATATATGTATAAGTGCCAATAAAGATATTGCAGAATTAACATCAAAATCTTTGGTATTTTATTGGTGTTTTAAGGAAACAAGAATCGAATGTAATGATAACGAACAGAAATTATACTCAAAGTCCAATCAAACAATGCAAATTGTGAACAGAGTAGAACATGTACCTCTGAAAACGGCGGTGGAATCACGTACTATGGAGGACTAGGCATCTCCTGTCATGATTGGGTAAACAGAAAAATTCGTACGCAGTTATGTTAAGGCTGCCCAAAGCAACAAATTACAGTCCAAGCATATCAGTACATCTCCAATCGGTTTTGAATTAAATATGTGGGCTGTAAACATAAACACAGGCAATTTGCACAAAGGGATCTATCAATTACATACTGCCATAATTATTTGTTGTGATATCACTTGGCTTTATTAATCACGTGACGATCAATTAGTTGTGTTTTTTTTTTTTTTTTTTTTTTTAGTGTTGCACATAAATTGCTTCGACGAGTGCTTAACACGATTTTTATTTAAATTTGATGATAAAGATAAAGCTTTTGTATCAAAAGGTATTTAAAAAATTGTTGGGATAAGCTTTAGAATTATTTCATGAGAATTTCCCATACATTAGGAGGTATTTTCAATCATCATAATTTACATCAAAACGAAGGCATGAATCTTCTATCCCAAACAAGATTCTCTAATATAATATTCTTCTCCTCAGAATATTGAAAATTAATCTTTAATAATCATTTGCACCATCCATTTATATACATACATAAATACTCAATCTAACCCGAACCATTTCAATGTCAGGATATTGCAATTTCATATTGTATACACTATCCAAAGCAATGAAACAGAGTAACCTTTTAATAGCCATTCACTGTAAGCATTTAAACTCTTATATAGGGAGTGTGGCAAGCTATGTCTTAGATTTTTATGAAACTTGGCACACATTCCTATATTGATGTATGAAACTAAAATTCATAAAATGGTTGCTATGGTCAATGGTTACCATGGCAACAAACATGCATTTTTCATGGCCTAAAAAATGCTAGATTTTGATGAAAAATGACCATTTTTGACAAATTAAAAGTCTTAAATACAACAAGATATTTACATGACTTCATCTTTTTGCCAAAATACATCATTTTTGCAGTTCTTTAGATAATTTCTAGTATTTGAGTAACTTTACCTAATAGAAAAAAGATCATCCGTTTTTAGGCAAGATTTTTCTGGAAAAAAATTGTAGATTTTAGGCTCTTTTGAAAAGCCTGGTATAAAATTTTGCGGACATTTGGGAAAAAATAAATACATTGGTTTGAAAGTCCATATACAGTTCTAATGTAAACTGCAGAGAAACACTTGGTATTCATATTTTGTTTTCATGTTACCATGGTTACAAACTTAAGCTTTTTTAAAGAATTCCAGACAAGGGCAATAGGTATCTACAATCAGTTTCCATATAAATACCTGAGTATTTTAAAATGGATTAAAACCAAATTTAGGTATGTGATACACAGTAGCAGAAACAAAGAGAAAAGTCAATTTTCATGCCAAAAGGTCAAAGGTCAAGGTCAAAATAGCTCGATTTAGATGGAAATTTAAGGAAACTAAGCACTTTTTTTCCGTGTCCTAACTAACACTTTTGTTTTAAACAGCATGAATAAACAAAATTACAGTTCTGGTGGACAATAACTTCATATGGCATCACATGAATTGGTAAATACGGACAGAAGGTCAAAGTTCAAGGTCACAATGGTATGTAAAAATTGCCTTTTGTCCCCCGCTTTCACTGAAAGTGGGGGGATATTGATTTGGGTCTGTCTGACTGTCCATCAGTCTGTCTTTCTGTGACACTTTTATTTCAGCCCGATGTCTCGAGAAGCCTTTGAGCTTTTGCAATGAAATTTTGCATTTAAAAAATCCCTGTGGTCTTGGGAAGACTCCCATTGATTTTAAGGTCAAAGGTCAAAGCATGAATACATAAATTCTGTTCAAACACTTTATTTCTGTGCGATATCTCGAGAAGCCTTCAAGCTTTTGCATTGAAATTTTAAAGCACAACTTCCTATGAACTAAAAAAGACCCCTATTGATTTCGAGGTCAAAAGGTCAAAGGTCAATGTAAAAATTTATACATTCTGTTTTTGTGTAAAACTTTCATTTCCGAGTGATATCTCAAAAAAATTTTAAGCTTTTGGAATGAAATTTTATATCATATCTCCCTATGGTCCCGCCCGCTCCTCTTAAAAGTGTCCCGTCCCCCCACCCCCACCACCACCCCTCTAGATCCGTAAATGCTCTTCTTTTTTTTTCCTTAAGCAGGGGACACAGTTTCCCTGAATTAGCTTGTTAATACAGCATTTTTACTTGGATATTGTGAAAGCGTATACACAATTTATTTTACTGAAACCGCATGGTAAATAAATTACATTCTCACCTTTAGCTTGATGCATAATGTGAAAATGCTATGAGAATGTTTTTTTAAGGTCATTTATTGATAAAAATGTTGCCAAGTCAAAATATTGAAAGCCTATACACTTACCATATTGAGTGACTGTATTTAGAGAACTGTGCTACATGCATGTAAAAACACTCTTCTGTTGTTTTTGTAGACTAAGTCCTTGTTCTAAAATGTACATTTTTGACTCTATTCAGCAGCCCGCACTTTTCCGGTGACAGTCAAATTATGTTTTCCTGTGACTTTTTTTCAGAGAAGTTGACAGAAAAAGCCTAAATCCATTTTACTTTGCAATATTATTCTTGAAAACTTGAAAATTTAGAGACATTGATGATAAATATTTCAACCCAAATATGCATGGGTTTACACATAATAGATCTGCTATTTCCCAAAATTTAATCAACAATTATCTGTTGTAAAAATATGCTGGACCTGTTTTTGTGCTTTCGTGAATTTATGTCGGTTGCTAAATTTGAGTTGGTTGCTAAGCTTGATGGAATCGTACACCTTATAGTGTGTAATGTAAACATAATTTCTAAAGTTTATACCGTGAAAATGTTGAAATAAATAATCTGTCCCTGCCTTCTTCCTACGGTTTTCATTTTTTTAAAATGAATAAAGTAACCAATGACCAGGACTTATTCCACCCCTTCCAGGAACCATGTAAAAGCACTTACCCACATCAATTGGTACGAGGCATTTGTAAAAAAAAAAAAAAAAAAAAAAAAAAAAAAAAAAAAATGGATTTCTTGTAAAACGTTAAGAAGCGTTATTTATAAATATTAAATGAAGTGGTTCATTCATAAGTGATTCACCCCTTCCCGCCCCCATTCCGAGGTATAGATTTATTTTTTGTGTAATTTTAGATTTTTTATTTTGGTAGAAAGGGGGGGGGGTCAGAAATTTATTTATGTTTTCATTGTTAATAAAATACATTTAGACTGATTTAATATTAATTTTACTGCTACAAGTTTCAATCTAAATGTATCTTAGTCTAGAGATATAATAAACCGTTAACTTTAAATATGACTCATACAATTTGCATTTCTATGCAACCCCCCACCTCACCCCTATAAAAGTATGATTTTGACAGAAAATAGAAATCAAACAAAACATTTTTATTGTTGGCCTTAACAATTTTTTTATTTTTTTTATTATTGGGTAAAGACCTTTCCTTTAAAGAAAATTCTTGCTTCAGCAACATTATCAACTTACATCACATCATTCAATATAAACTTGATACACCTGCACTTTGTTGTTGCCAAGCCTATTTTTTTATCTGACTTTCAACTTCCAGTTTTGTACGATCATGTAAATGTAGCTAGATTTTAATTATTTAAGGGAGCCGACTGGGGTTTTATTGTGTGAAAACTACTACAGAGAAACTCTTTAATTTTATAGCATATGTACCTTACATTGACTTCAGTATATATGCCAAGTTTAGGGAACATCTACCGTCTTGTTATTTTTTAGGGACAATCTCAAAATAGAGGTACATTTACTATAGGATTATATAGGAAAATACCATTTTTTCGCACTTCGGGGCAAATTATACAAATGCTACTACAGTCTTTTTGCTTAAATTATATTTTTTGATGGGTAATACTATATTGTACATTTTATGCAAGAAACACAAAATTCTACCGTCTGGTTTCCAGAGGGGGCATCTCAAAATGTCAAAAATCATGATATTTTCCTGTTTTTATGGAGTACAACAAAATATGACAGATACCACAGATTTACATAAAAAATACTAAAAATGATTGTGAGATTCTCAATTTCCTGTTTAAAATTTCAAAAGCATCTATTTTATACTTTTTATTCCATGACTTAATTAATGACCCCGCTTTAAGAACTTCGGTTATTCATAACGTCAAAAACACGCTATTACGACGTCTATTTTCCCATCGTTTGAAAAATCGTTTAAAAAATCAGTTATTTAAAAACGTAATTAGATTTTTTTAACCTTAGATTTCCTAAATTTGTTAATTTTTATAAATTAAGTAAAAATAGTTGCTTTAAAAGAGTAAATATGCTTTTTTTTTTACCATGCTGCGCGAAGTATTGCGCAATGAAAACCCCAGTCGGCCCCGTTAAGTAAAATCAAAAGCTTACTTTTCTAACATTATAATTCAGTTTTGTTTTTTTTTTAAAAAGAAACACTGGCTTTTCTGGCTGTTATTCATTGTAA